TTTTTAATAAATCGTCCGCCTTGCAAAGATTATTTTGCTCTCAGATCAAGTGCTTTGTGTAAGTTTAGCCACTGGGAGTCGGTCTGGAACTGCCAAGTATTCTACAAAACTATAAGCTATTCAGCTAAGACTAAGGGTTTCAAACCTTCCTTGACTATAGGAAACCTTTCATGGGTTATTTTTCGAGACTAAATATATTGCTAATGATCACTGTCTTTAAACTGCAACCGCAATTATTTGACTATAATTATCTCCACAAATGCGTTTATACGTACGTATCTTGGTTGTTGTTTCGACTGGTTGAATTTTCAAAGAATATCGCCACACTGGCGGAGATTTCTTCAGAATTGTTCGTGAGCCGGGGGGATACTCCCTATATTGGCCCCTTCCGGGACGGGGGAGCCCACAACTACTTATGGTCTCCTGCCTCTACGGGGAGGCTCCGCCCGAAAGACCACCTTTTTCAGGCTTGTATACAAAAGGCCCGGGGGGGACTCCGCATGTGAAAGGGGAGGGAATGCTTGTCGGAAATTTTGAATGAAAGCCCTAAAGGAGACCAATCTGGGCGTGGTCCAACCTTTTTTTGACCCCTAAAGGCGATGATTTTAAATTTTGATTACATGAATCGAGTAAATAAAACGAATTGACAATAGACAATTTTTCAATATTTCTTCGAGTGCAACCCTAAAAGAGACCTTTACGGCTAAATATAATGGTGTTTAGCCCAGAACACCCTAAGCGAGCCCAAAATCCAAAATTTACACCCATAAGCAAGAGGACGAGCATCCCCACTCCATTCATATACGGAGTCCCCCCGGGACGAAAGGGTGGGGAAATGGGAAATCGTTCATTTGGGTCTGTGAAAAGGCACAAAAGGCTCTAACAAGCGGTATATTATGGCTGTGAAAAAGTCGAGAAAACGTTCTGGTTTTGTAGTTTATTGATGTCTAAAATAAAATGGCAGTGAATTTACAGCAGTTTTGCCAGTGCACGAAGGGCATACCCTTTTCGTCAAAACCAAGAGTAAGGGGTTGGTCCTTGTGGCGGAGCTTCACCGTATAAAACTTTGTTCAGCACCCCCCGGATTAATAAACCACGACAGAGTGTTAGCAAATTCCGACTTTTGCCAGCAACAGGCGGTTTATTTGTTTCTGATTCATTTAGGGCAGTGGCGTCGATAGATTTATGGCAGGTCATAGAATTCTTGCTGTGATATGGAAAAATGATCTCCTTAAGATCATTTTATATACTTGCCGACATTTAATTAACCAGACTTTTTTATCTCATACGTCAAATAATCGGTTACCGCCGGTCATTAGTTTGCCGAAATCTCAGAAATCTGGGGGAATTTTAACCATACACTCTCTGTCTCACAAGCGCACACGCAACAGTGGATGCTCTCGAAGTTATTTACTCACTTCATAGTATCCGCCGATAGGCAATTCGCAAGGATGAACTTTTCTACTAGTTTTCTTTTTCTTTTTTCTGAGCAGTTTTGAAGCCTGGTGTCGCAAACACAAAGAAAACGAAACGAAAAAAATGCGAGAGTACCGCCGATCGGTATAACTTGCTCGCGACGTGGTTACTTCCGAACCCATCTGGGCCAAGTTATTCGGCACGCAGTCTTTTTAGCTTAGCATTATTTTTCGAATAAATACACGCTAAATGAAAGAAAATAAGGTTGTGCTGGGAAATCTCTGATGAGAAGAATTTCTAACCAGCTGAGAAACCTTTTCAGTTGTCAATGAAACGTAAATATTAAAGTATAACCTTTTGCCTCGCGTGACCCCCTAAGGAAGGTAAATCAAGCTCATCCACCCGTGTGTCCGGCCGAGGACGCGTGGTACCTCTCCTGTTGAGAGAAGACAATTGACGGAGACTATTGAAGCAGGACTAAGAACCTAGCTACCGCTGACGGTGTAGCGGAAAGCGTAGAGTGGGGTAAACCATTTTGACTTTGTAATTGTTTGTGTGTCCGAAATAAAAAATGAATAAAAAAAAGAATATGTATATATATTATTTTATAAGAATATCGAGGCTGAAATCTGCGGAATTTAAGAATATTACGAATAAACCAGGAGCCTATGGGCTCCTGGAATAAACCCAAGGCTGAGATTTTGAAAAACAAACAAACAAACAAACATTTTGACTCCAGGAGTCCTTATTAAGGGGCCATGTCTTTTTTTTCTTTCGATCTATTCTAAAAAAAAAAGAAAACAAGAAAAAGCCTGATCCCTGGTTTTTAGCGCTTTGACCCATACATTAAATGCTCTTGTAGAGTTAGTAAGAAGCATTACTCCATAATAATTTGTTTATTTGTTTAAGTCCATCCTTGCCATCCCGGCAGCAAAAAGCGACAGCAAATAGTTTCAATGCCTAAATAAAGCCTTATAACAAAACTGGACCAAGAAATCAGTTAATGCGAAGAAGACACTCGTCAGCTTATACAAAAAGACTTTTTCGAAGCAAATAGCTTGACATCGCCAAGTTCGTTTAAAGCTATGTGCAGCGTATTTGTACTTGCTTCTAACTGAACATTTTGCTAAAGTATCGTGCAAGTGATTGTACTCCTCATTAGCCAAAGCCTCGTTAGCCTTTTCATTAGCCTGATGATGGCAGCATGGACGGACGTTTCGACAAACGTATACGCGGTAGTCATTTTTCGAGTCAAAGTGATCTAGCACTGACTGTTAAACGGGTATGAAATTTCCCGGTGAGCGAGTCGACGAAATTTGCAGAGACATATCAGGAAAAGTATGTCATCCTCTCATCCAAGGTAATTAGTTTTTTTTAGGGCAATTCTTGCACATTGGGCTTTTCTGAACTTGGAAAAAAGCTCCCCATATAGTTGCATCACTGTTAAATTATTGTGAATTAGAGATACTTGTAGGCCCTTGACGGATTTAAAGCCTACCGGTTGAGTCACCAATTATAACTTTAATACGCAACAAGAATAGCGCTCAAACACTTATTTCATAAGTATTCAAGTGATAAGTTTTAATAAGTGTTCGACTTATTTTAATAAGTCTACTGATAAATGTATTCTCAAAACGTTCTGTATTTTACGTTCTGTGACTGACGTTTTAAGAATCATGACTTTTATCAATAGACTTATCTATAGATATAAACTCAATATGTAATAAGTTACGATTTTTATTAGTATGGCGTAATTTCTCTTCTTGCTGTGAAAAATATGTAACATAACATTTGTAGTTTTTATCTTATGACAAATAAAGACATTTATTATTATTATTTGATTAATACTTTGAATTTGAGATGAACTTAGGCTAAGGGTAAATTGTTGTTCTCCGCTAAGACGAAAACTATACGAAACAATCTATCACTACAAGAGTTCCTACAATCATCGACGAAAAGGTTGGGAAAGCTACCACTTTTCACCCTCCCCCACTGGATCAATGTTGGACAAAATTAAATTGTTTTTGCGTGTAATTGAAGTTATATGTCCCAACATTGACTGAGGGGGTGGGGGAGAACAAATAAACTTTTTTGATGCAAAATAAAACGCAAACAGCAAATGTATGTTGAATAGCAAACGAAACGTCCTGCTTATAAAAATGCGAAAACTCACAATGTTTATCACCGCTGTTTGTGTTTTTTGATCAAACTACCATGGCCCAAGAACAAAAGTCTATGTGATACAATCTTTTTGAACATCATGTTAAAAAAGATTGTACATAGATATAAGGCCTATGAAATGGACCAATAATGCTGTTACGTTATTCAACCTTTGTCCGTGATTATAGATTGCATGAGGTGCCTGGATATTGGTAGTGTTTTGCTAAACAGGATAACTCGATACAGAACTAGAAATCCAATGCTGTCTCACATAATACATTAATTTATTCTGTTTGTAAAAGCATTACATTTCTTTGACATGTAAGGAAGTACCCACCGGGATTTTTGGTTCAAAAATGAACGTTATCAATTATTAACTGATCAATCCGGGGGAGAGGGAATTCGTAGTAGGGTGTGTTGTCCGACTTTCCAAATCCTGACTCTAGATCTTATTTCAGTCCTCTCTTGTTCAGATCAATACCTATAAGGCAAATGTTAGGGAGTACTCCCCCCGGGGAAGGTCGTAACCGAACAACGGATCATGGAAGCAAGGCTAATCCTGCTGATCCTCATCTACGACAAGATCCGGCTTTCCTTCGCTGCTGTTTAATTTATTCAAGTGGTCCTTACAAAAAGTTAAATTTAAAACACCACTTTATTTTTGTCTTCTTTATTTATTTTTTCTATCACTCTTCCTGCCGTAAGGATCATTTTACTGTTTTCAATTTAAAATTTGGAACTCAAGATTTTACTGATCCAGGTCTACTAAACATCCGGCGGACCCTCACTGGTTTGTCGTTGTGGTTTTGCCCTCACAAGTGTTTCTTACAAGAATTGTTCGCTAATTTTTTGCCTATGTAAGATTGTGACTGTGGCATGCAAACGACCGCCCCGCAATTGTTCGTTTGTTCCCAAACCTGCATTCTTCAGTGGAGTGAATAAAATAGAAAAGAAAAGAGGCCCATCTCTCTCGCTCTCGCATCCTTGCTTTGGAGGGTAGGGGTGAGCAGTGGGGACCCAGTGGGGGCAAATTGTGTCCAAGTTTGCAGTTTGGTTTGTTTGGACTCTGCTCTTGGATCACGAGTAACCCATATGGAGTACAATATGGAGTAAGTTTCTTCAAAGAGACCCTGCCCTACCCTAGAGCCATAGATCTTAACGGTCCATCGTTGTTTTATTCCTGGCACACTATATTAATTGCTTCATTTTTATTTTAGAAAGAAACATTAGCATAGTCCAGTAGTGTTCTTTTTGTAAGTCCAATGAAAATAAATACCCCGAAAGTTTCTTTTTTTTTGCCAGGGTGGCGTTGGGCAGTTATTGTACTAATTCGCGCCCAGACAAAATGGTGGACGCCGGTAGTGATCAGCGTTGATACATCTTAGCCGCCATTTCGACTCAAATCTGAAAGATATGATGTGAAAATGACTGTATTTTCTAAAATACTACCTTACTTTACCACTACCCTTTCTTGTCACGAGTTAGCGCATACATGGACTCCATCTTGCACGAGTGCTTCTGCCGGGGTCTTTCGATCATGCTTCATCGAATCCCTGAAGATTTACGGCCTTCTGTATTTGGTAAGTTAGCGGTACAAATACTACGCGAGTATCACAGATCTGTAAGAGCAAGTTTATGTAATTCGGGCAATTAAAACGGATCGGAAGAACTGCAGGCTGTCATTTCGACTGCGTTACTGAAAAAGAAAGTTTACATATTGCATAATACTCGGCCCTCTGAAAACTGCTCCGGCAGTCCCACAGGAGTCCGATTTGCGTAATAAATTCTGACATTGTCTGCGGGACTGCGGGAGCACTAGTATACCTCGTTCTATAAGTACACTAGTTATGTACTTGACATCGACTGTGGGCGTATGGGACTGCGGGAGCACTAATAATTTGTATACCAACTTAATATTAACTTTTCAGGGACTGTGGGAGTGCGGGACTGCAGTAGCCTCCCACGCAGGCCTTTTTGGGGGAGCTCGTATTTCTTCCCTCCCCACAAACGCCTGCTCAACAGAGAACAACATTCCTTTCCCACGCTTAGCCAATCACGTTGTACTTTCCAAATTCTGGAAAGTTGACCTTGACCGCAGGGTAACCCGATAATTACGCAATCTGCAATAGACTTTGAGAAACCTTGATGACCTCTAATAAATGTTAGACTCAGAGCGACAAAAGTAAGATTTACTCAGTCAGATTTTAGAATTCTCCGTGCACTGCATAACCTTAGCGAAGGAAAGAAAAGAAGAAAACGGTAACTCTAGGGTCACGTTCTGGGTCACGTTTTTTCACTATCACAAGCTTATGAGTCATGTTTAGCCTGTCAACACTTTATTTTAAAACCGTTGATTGGTCACTTACCATGCAAATGTAACAGTGGGAAAGGAATGTTGTTCTGGGTTGAGCAGGCGTTTGTGGGGAGGGAAGAAATACGAGCTCCCCTAAAAACGCCTGCGTGGGAGGCTAGGACTGCAGGAGCACTCAATAAAATAATAGTAATAATAATAAAAATAATGATGATGGTGATGATGATGATTATAGAGGGGGGCATTGGGGTATATTAGAAACCGCAAAACCAAAGAAAAAATCATCCAAAACTGCAAAACCGCAAAAAAATTCAGCCAAAACTGAAAACCGCATACAAAACCGTCAAAAACCGATACAATGGTGACAAGTGGGGCATACAGAGCAAACTAAACTAACACTAATTTCACCAAAGTATTTGTGAATGTCATGGACGTTGTCTGAAGCCTTTGTATCTTTTTGTGTCTGCTTAAATCATAGGCTTTGTTTCTGCCGCTCTCTCGAGCCCAGACTTTGCGGCTCAATTTCCGAAAAGCCGCTAGTTATGGAGCCTAGTTAACTTAGGAGCATTTGCACACAAGTCCTCTTTAGAATTGCAATTTTGCAGTCGCAAAAAGCTATAGCTCTGGAAACTTCAATCGAAAATCTCTAATCGAACATTTCCATTTGATAACTAACACCTGAAAGTTTGGAGACTCGATTGTCTAACATGCGATTGCACTGAGCTGAGTCGACACTGAGGAAGCTAACCGGTACAATTAGTTCCTTTTCAGTTTTGCATGGCAGCAGGAGCTTGCTCTAAGGTTAAATGTGGTAATAAACAGATACTCAAAAAAGCAGTCGATTATTGAACCTCACTGCCCTTCCAAAAACCAAAAACCACATCGGGTACCAAAACCGAAAAACCGCTAGTATTTTTCACGAAAACCGAAAACCAGATGCTAAAAAACGAAAAATCCGCAAACCGCAATGACCACCAAAACCGAAAAACCGAAGTCTTTTGCAACAAAAACCGAAAAACCGATCTAAAAAATTGCCAAAACCGCAAAACCGAAAATCCCAGTGCCCCCCTCATTATATTATTTATTACCTGCGGGACTGCAGGAGCACTCAATAAAATAATAATAATAACTAATTATAAGATTTAAGTATTCAGCATAATTATTAATAAAACTTGACTGCGAGTCCTTGGGAGCAGTTTTTCAAGTACCGTAAATCCTCTATTAAGCCCCCCCTCTCAAATAAGCCCCCCCCCTCTCTAATAGGCCCACCCTTTTCAGAGGAGGAAAGTCAATAAGCCCCCCCCCTCCCCCTCCTCCAATCCTTATTCTTCACAAAAAAATTAACGATTAACGTGGACTGATCAGTTATGGTTTATTCATAAAAATTACTGAAGAACATGAGGTCGAAAGCACATTTTTGGAGAATAAGAATTTTGTTTTTGTTACTTTTAGGCTCCCACAAGTGAATTAAATACTTTTGACGGTGACTTTAATTGTACAATGCGTAAGTCTACTCTGTCGCATACCATGGTATTTTTGCTACAGGTGATGTGTTTCACTAAATTAAATAAGCTCCCCCTCTCTATTAAGCCCCCCCTCAAAAGTACTTGAAAAAAATAAGCCCCCAGGGGGGCTTAATAGAGGATTTACGGTAAGACATTTAGTGGTCTGGGTATTCTGCAATCACAATAGTAAGCAGTCAGGCTATTGATGACCTGTCTCATCATATACTCCTATAATATTTGCCGAATTTGAGGTTTGAGAACTTGTGAACAGACTCGTGGTACACAGTAGTCATTCTGTAATAGCCTGCATAACAGTGCTCACCTTGCTTGGCTAACAAAGTGCCTGATATGCAGGCTATTCTGTGATGACAAGATTTGAAGATTTGGCAGACAATAAAGCATAGAAAAAATGTTGTATCTGCTAATTTTACAGTTTCTGGTTCTAGATGCCTAGACGAGACTCAAACGGTTAAAATCTCTGCCCAATTTCAGATCAAAAGGGATCAAAACTTTATGCTCTTAGGTACTCTACATGTTTAGCTTATACACATGTAGACTCTATAAAGGGAGATCACCCTGCTAACCTAAGCCAACACTGAGGGCAACATAGAGGTAACCTAGGATGGACGGGGGGTGGCTAGAAGGTCTTATTAAAATTTTATAATTTAGAAATACCTTTCTGTGAAGATAATACAACATTTTTTTCTAAGCACACTCTCTAAGGCCTGTATTTTATACAAGTGTAACAAGCATGCCACAAGATTGTAGCTAAGGTATGCAATGTTTGGTAAAATAGCATTTGCTCTGTGGCAGCTTTCACAACAAAATTGGTGCCATTCATTTCTAATGTATCAATAGAGGCTCCCAGAATCCTCTATCCATAGTGAAGACTTCAGTTTTTTGATGAATTGATACTCTTATTGGTTTCAGGTTGGTGGTATTTTACGAAGAGCGGGAATGAAATACTTCAGAGTTAATTATTTACTGGACGTTATCAGGTCATCGTTGTTTTTGGCAGTCAATGGAGGGGGGTTGGTTGTTAATGTTTGCTTGATAAGGTTGGTCATTGTTGTGTACTGGGACTTTCTGACCATCTTGTTGTGTCTATCATGATTCTAAGCACCAGGTATCACGATTTTCACAGAGAAAAAAGTTTGTGGAAGTGTTTTGACAACCTTTGAAGAAAATGTCAGAGCTATAGCCTTGAAATAAAGAGACGGAGAATGTGTTCTTCTGTAATGATCCGGATCAGGGTGAGTGATCTGAGATCACTTGGATCATAGCACATAGTAACCGATGAATTCCTTAGCCTTTGGAAAAAGATTGATTGGTTTATCCAAGTGATCTCAGATTATTGATCCTGATTTGGATCATCCCAAAGGAATTCACCCAGACAATCTAGGAAACACATACTGGTAAACTTAACTAATACAGTATGCCAGCTCTCTCAGATTATGTCTCCTGAATACCGGGTACATTTCTCTATGTCTTCTATGTTGGTCACCAATACGGACGGTGTCTTGAGTTTTTTCTGTACCGTAGACTAATGTAAGCTTAACCCTTTAGGTCCCAAGAGTGGCCAAGATCAATTTTCTCCTAACAACATCAGTAGATCAATAAGAGTAAAGAGTAAATAGATTACCAAATTAAAGGAGAACACTTTGATCTTGAACCAAATTCTCTCAACTATTGTTAAAAGAAATGTATGGAGATCAGTCTGGAGAATTTGAATGTGGATCTTTGGGCTTGAGTTCCATGCGTTCTTTTCCCACTCACAGAATTGTTTGCTTTATTCCTGCCATACGAGCATCTGTTTGATTCGATCAAAATTGGGATGAATTGCCCTTGGGTCCAGGGTTGATAATGGTGTTGGGACAGTGGAAGTCTCCAAATTTTCAAGACAGAGTTTGCAGTGTCTGAAAATTTTGTATGGGCATTTGAAGTTAAAATACTGGTAGGTGTCTGTATACATGTACTCATATACCAGTTTAAAATGTAACATTAGTTAATTCTGTTTTTGTTGTTTAGGAAACTTTTTGGCTCTTTCAACTACCTGTCCATGATATTTGTGCCTGGTCTCATAGCATCTCTTATGGCTATTCTAATTGAGAAAAAAGGGAGACGCAGCACTCTTGCACTTTATATGACAAATTTGGTGAGTGCTTTTTTGCAGTAAAAACAATGAAGATCCTCTTTAATTTCTTTTTTAAGGGAAAGGGGCAGAAAGGAATCAACATTGAATTGATTGTTGTAAATATTTATTGAAACAAGCCTACAAAGGAAAGTTTCAAATTCCTGATGATTTATTATAAGTTTATAAGTTTTTGTTGGTTAATCAGATACTAACAGAATCTTTCTCTGTTAAAGCTGGCCATTCAGAGACCATACACTGTAGTTATAATGTATAAAAAACATTGCCTTTTTTAGCATACTTAATTATTTGGTATGTTAATCTTACTTTAAGATTCCTAAATTCTATGACCAACTTATTCTGATCGAGCCATGTGTTGGTTTACATCTGCTGTATTTTCTTTAAACATGCAAACATTTTACACATTTTCTCCGGAGAATTTTGGCGAGAAATGTGTTTTGAAGCTAGTTGAGCTGTTTTCTAGTCACTGTTTGGCTTTAAAGAGCTGAAACTTACCACAAATCCATCTTCGTGGCCTTCTGATTGAGATGAAAAATATCCACTTCTGAAGTTGGGGCATGTGAAGAAAACAAGATTTTGGGGTTTAAAAGACACACAGCAGTCTTCACTTTTTCTTTGCTCTTTCTCTCCTCCCCTCTTCTTTTATGCTTTTCTTGCTTCAGTTTTCCTTTTGCTAGGCATTTAGTAGACTAGCTACAAGCAGGTGGGAAAAGTTTTTGGGAAATCTTGTAGGATCGTAGGACGAGATTAGGAAAGGTAGGTGACTGGGTAGTGAAACAAGATTTTCATGGGAATTTTCAGGTCAATGTTACATAGTTTTTTCGCCTTTTTCTCCGGCCTCCTTGACTGAATCATGCTCATTCTGGTGTAGTTTGAAAGATCTCTCCACTCTGCACAAGTTAACTGTTAAAAGTAAAAACTGTTGACCTCACTAGAGGTAGAAGGGACGTGGATCCACACAGGCAGTTATGGGTGGTTCAGGGGCAAATAAGTTTAAGTACCTTCGATAAAAGATAAGTTGGTGGGTTATTAATTTTAAATTAATGTTAATAATAAAATTATTTTTTTCTTGTAGGCCACTGAAACAACATATAACATGCTGAAGGAAAGAAGTCTTATTAAACCTATTCCAAATGGAGAGGTAAAGAAAATATGTACAGCTTGTAAAATAATTTTATTGCGATGTTTTTGTCCGGGTTGTGGGGGCAGTTAAAGAAAGCTTTGAAATGTTGGTGCTGCTGACACCTTCAAGCCCTGACTCTTTTTAAGACAAAGTCTTTTCTCATTATATTTCTTTGTTTCCTGTGTTGTTAGATTATACTATTTTGTGCATCAACTGCCACCATGATGTATCTTTACAGGTAAGTGCATCAGGCTAGTTAGTGTTTTCATCTGTTTCTTCTGTATTTGGAACCCATGATGAAGCACAAAGCCTGAACTTTTTAGATGTCTTCTCAAATGAAACAGTAAGAAATTATGCAATGACATGATTTCTCAGGTATTGCACTGTTTCCATGTGTTGTGTTAATCAATAGAACATCTCATTAAAATTCAAGTGCATACCTGCCAACTCTCCTCAGATTTTCCTAGGAGTCTCCAAGTTTTTCATCAAATCTCCCAGGAAACACCTACCATGGCCATTTTCAAAATGTTTTCATTAATTTCATTGTTTCCGAGATGTCCAAAAGGAAAATAAAACAAGAAGTGGATCTAGTGTTCTTATTTGAGCTGTTCTCAATGACAAAACATAAATGATATATATTTAGCGAGTGTCATAATTGGTCAGAGTTCAACCAATCAAATTGCACAATACATGGTAGAAAGTTGGCACGGTTTTCTCACGCTGTTATTGATGTTGAGAACATTTGGAAGGCCTTTTGGTGGTTTTTGGAGAGCATTCAGACATTGTTGAAAATGACATTCTTACAATGCAAAGATTCCTACACCTCTCCAGATTTTTGTACTCCGGGGGTTGGCAGGTATGCAAGTGTTTGATTTCAGATGAAAAATTGATATATTTCATCTCAGATGAAAACCTGGTGGTGTTTTATCCAGTGTTTTATAAGGTATCAAGATTCATCTACCTGATCCAAATGGTCGTCATATTTTTTATTGGCTTTTGATGGCATAAATAATTAATGAGTTTCAAATGAGTTTGAGAAGGATGAGCATCTCTTTAAAAACACTGAATGGTATAATAAATCTGTTTCATGCAACACAAGACGAGGAGGCCATGAAATAAGTTAAGGAAAGTGATTGTTTGAAAATTATTGCTTGGAAAATTTCCAACTCCCAAGACCCCTCATTCAACCCCCCCCCCCCCCCCCCCAAAAAAAAAAAATCCTGAGAAAATTATCAAACTGTTTTGACTTTATTTTTTGTCTTCCATTAGAAAGAAGGATGGTCTTACTGATGGATTAGTGAATGCCTTAATTAGGTAATCTTTTTTTCGTATTTAAAGCTATTGAAATCAATGTATTTTATTTTAATGATCAACTAAATAAGGTGAACAGTTACCTGACACCCACTAGGTAGCTTTTTTCGCCTAAACCCCACTTGTTTCTTCTTACCTGATGTTGCCATGGTTATTTGGCATTGTGAGACTACACAGGGAACACCACAACACCTTGATAACTAACTGTTTTTGGGCCCCTTTTGCCACACACTGGACCGTGCCCTGCTGCTCAAAAGTTGAATAACACTATCCACTAAATAAATCCCCATCCAGTGAATAATGTAATTGGTTTCCCTATGATACTTATCAGCTGGATAGTGGTTTATACACTGGATAGTGTTATCCATTGTTCGAACAACGCGGGCCTGAACCACGGGGGAAAAACGAGGTCTGGGATGGAGAAACAATGTTCTCATAACATGCAAAGCAGTCACCTTGCATTGTGGTCAGCGGATATTATTGTAGTATTTTCCCAAAGTAACTATTTTAGAAGCGAGAAGT